CGGCTTGACTAGCTAGCCATGTTTAACTTTTTTCAACGTTTTATTTTTGCATCTTTACGAAAAGTTTTTTTTTCACTTTTAAGCTATACCGTATATTGCAAGGGTTAAGAATTTTTTTTAATTTTCCAATTTCAATTCTGTATATTTAACCGAGTTTAAAATAAGCAACACAGTAGTGGGATGCTTTCATGGTTCCCCCAGAGGTTGCGAATTTTAGCCACGAATTATGAATGCCCAAATCCTTTAGTTTTCGAGATTCGAAGATTTTAGTGATTTTTTCGAAAATTTCCAGAAAACTAATGAGAAGTAATTCACAAATTTTGAAATTTTCTACCATGTAGTTGGTGGTGTCCGAGTATTCTCAAAGATTGCAAATCTTGTCTCTAAATTTGCTCAATTCTTTGTAGTTATCGAGATATGACATGTATGATTCTTTTTAATTTTTCAAAAGTTTAGATTTTAAAAATTCAAAAGATCTGAAATTCTCATTCTTGTAGTTGGATACTGTGATAGTTCTCGGAGCGTTTCTATTTTGCTATTTTTGCGTCCAATTTCCTTTGCTCAAATACTTTTTGTATCCGAGATTAGACGTTTGTTATTTCTTTTTTAAGATATGACGTTTTTTGTGGTTTTTCTTCAAAAAATTTTCAGAAACTTAAATTTAATTTTTTTTAGTGTTGAATTCCTAACCCTTTCTTTGAGGGCTTTCAGAATAACTTCAGCGTTTGCAAATTTTGCCCCCAAATATGACTGTTCAAATCTTTGTAGTTATCTAGATAGGACATTTTTTGTGGTTTTTCAGAAAAATTTTCAGAAAACTTAATTTATTATTTTCATACTTCGGAATTCCTAAACCTGTAGTTGGGGGCTCTTAGATTACCCTCAGGTGTTGCGAATCTTGCCTCTAATTATGACTGCTCAAGTTTTTGTAGATTTTGAGATATGGTACTTTTTATGGTTTTTCAAAAAATTTTAAAGAAAACTTCAATTTGAAGTTTCTCAAAAATTAAAAAACAGAAACCTGCAGTTGGGTATTGTGAGGACTCTCAGAAAACAAAAATCTTGCATCCAATTGCAACCTTTCAATTGCTTTTAGTTTTCGAGATGTGACAATTTTCACTTTTCTGTGATCTTAAAGTTTTTCAAAAACTTAGATAAAAAACTTAAAATTTGTATGGTTTTCAAATTTTGAATTATAAAAAACTTGAATAAAATTGGAAATAACAAAATCTGTAATTTGGTGCTGCTAGAGTACCCTCGATGGATGTAAATCTTATTTCCAAGATTTGCGTTTTTATATGAGTTGACAAAACTTCGAAGCACCGGAGGTTACAAGTATTGAGTTATCAGAGTGGAGCTAGAAAATTTATACCATCAATGACATAAATTTTTTGAGGCATGTTTATTTGTAGTTTGCGAAAGTTTGTTTTTAGCAGTGTTGTTTTTATCGATAATGTCTGATTTTTTCGTCTTTTGCTTTTTAAAGCTTTATCAACTTAATGATCACCCTTACGATGAGCAAGGGTATTGCAATCAGGCAGTAGACTTTTCTCACCTTAAATAATATTGTTCACAGGACTCATCTCCTGGACTCATTAATCCACTGAGCCTTTCTGTTGGAACAGATATATTTTGAATATGATAGCGTTTTAAGTATCCAGCCTAATTGAAACCTATTCTCGATTATTTATTTAAATGCGGCTTGACTAGCTAGCCATGTTTAACTTTTTTCAACGTGTTATTTTTGCATCTTTACGAAAAGTTTTTTTTTTTCACTTTTAAGCTATATCGTATATTGCAATGGTTAGGAATTTTTTTTCGATTTTCCAGTTTGATTTTAGTGGTTATTTCACGGAGTTTGAAATAAGTAGCCCAATAATGAGAGGCTGTCCGGATTCCCCAAGGAGTCGCAAATTTGGCCTCCAAATCCTTTTAGTTAACGAGGTGAGACGATTTTTGTGACTTTTTAAAAGTTTTTCGAAAACTCAAATTACAAAATAATTTGGAAAACATGGAGGTCCCAACCCGGTAGTTGGGTACTGTCAGAGTACTATCAAGGATTGAGAATCTTGCCTCCAAATATGACTGCTCAAATCGTTGTAGTTTTCGAGATATGACTTTTTTGTGATTTTTTCATAAATTTTCAGAGAAATTAAATTAATTATTTCCAAAATTTGAAATTCCCAACCCTGTAGTTGGGTGCTGTCAGAGTACTCTAAGAATTTGCAAATCTTGCCTCCAAATATGTCTGTTCAAATCCTTGTAGTTTTCGAGATATGACGTTTTTTGTGATTTTTTCAATAAATTTTCAGAAAACTTTCGTTTCTTGCAAAATCTGAAGTTCCCAACCCTGTAGTTGGGTCTTGTCAGAGTACTCCCAAAGACTGCGAATCTTGCCTCCGAATATGACTGCTCGAATCTTTGTAGTTTTCGAGATATGATGTTTTTTGTGTTTTTTGTTTTTTGTGATTTTGTGAAAATTTGAAATTCCTAAACCTGTAGTTGGGTCCTGTCTGAGTACTTTCAAGAATTGCGAATCTTGTCTCCAAATATGACTTTCAAATCCTTGTAGTTTTCGAGATATGACGATTTTTGTGTTTTTTGTAGTTGAGTGCTGTCAGGGTACTCGCCACAAATCTCGCCACAGCGACTGCTCAAATGCGACTGCTGAAATGCTTTTAGTTTCCGAGATGTGGCGTTTTTTTGATTTTCTCAAAATGTCTCAAAGAACTTATCCACAAATAAATTCAGAAAATTTGAGAGTACTAAACTGATAAAGGCACAACCCTATTGTCAGCGTTCACCCAGTCGTCTCAAATCTTTCCTCTAAATATGAATGCTCAAATCCTTTTAGTTTCCGAGATAAGAATTTTTTTATGATTTTCTCAATTTTTTTCGGGAAAAATGTCATGAAATTTGAAATTCCCAACCCTGTAGTAGGGTGCTATCAGGGACTCTCAGTGGTCGCAAATCTGGCCTCCAAATTTCTCCAGAGGCCCATTAAGTTTTCGAGATGACGCTTTTATGGTTTTTCACAATGGGAATTAAAAAAACTAAAAAGTTTGAAATTACCAACCCTGTAATTGGGTGCTGTCTGAGTACACTAACAGTTTGCAGATCAAGTTTCTATTATATGCGGTTTTCCATGAGTTGTCGATAAGTTTCGAAGCACCGGAGGTGTGTTAAACGCTTTTTTGATTTAAATCATATTCATTTTTGTAGCGCAAGTGGTGCTTTTCAATCGTTTAAAAGGAGAATTTTTCACGGCAAATGTTCTGATTTTGGCCGATCAAGAAATCAGCAAATGTTCCGATTTTTGTCGGCTTAGTTGCCGCTAGATAAATGTTTCTTAAAGACTGTTAAACGCCGGCGTTTGTGTTTCTGGATGAGCGTTCCTCGAGTGGAACACCATTGCTGATATATGTATTTTTGTCGTCTTTTCAATTGTCGTTTCTCGATTTTGTTGTTTTCAATTTGTCGACCAGCCGATTTCTTTTCAGTTTCTGCCTGCATGCTTGCAAGGCTAGAGTTTCGTCTTATCGCAAGTGGCGCAAAGCTTTGCTTCGTATCTGTGTTGAAGTCATCATCTCAGCTTAGTTCAGTATTATTGTTACCCATGCGATAAGCAGGGTACTAGACTTTTTTTCCCCGTAAATAACATTGTTCAAGAATGGTCAAAATAAGAAATGGTAAGTTTGGGTTCAATTCATATTGAATTCAAATGTCTTTGGGTCTCCGGCACTTTTGGCCTGGAGGTAACGAATAATACCTGGTATGGCATTGGTCCTGGGTTGGAAGTTGACAAGATCTGTTTTTTTTTCAAACGGGAAATATTACATTTCGAAAAAAATGCGGTTGTTTAATTATCTGCTTGTTTTTTTGGCTTAGTTGCCACATTCCATAGTTAATGGTCTTTTTTCTGGACGCTCTTTACATTGTATTTGCTTTGGTGTTTTGATTTCTGCTGCTTGTAATTTCTTGACTATGTTTTTTTTCGCCGAAAAACTTTATTCTGCCCTATTAATTTCGGCTGATTTTATTGGCTTAGTGACCTAATTTTGAGTCGTTTTAGGGTAAACATAATTTTTATGCTCACTGGATCGCACTAATTGCTATACTTTTTATAGAAATATTAGCTCAAGTTTTTCATGGAAACATTTTTTTCTGCTTTGTCAATTTTTTCCTCTTCTTGATAGGTTTCGGGTCCAAATTGTATTGGCTTAATGGCCTCATGTTGGGTTTATCGACGAGTGAAAAACGGTTGTATGTGTGTGGTGTCTTAAGGGGGAGGGGGACTCGTTAATTTTTCTATAGTCTGAAGTCTTTTTGATTATTTCATCCGCTTAAAGGGTTTCGGCTAAGGTAATTTCGGCTTTGTTATCGCTTGGTTATTTTTCTTCCGTTATGAATTTCACATTCTATTGTTCTGGTTTAATTTTGCTTCAAAACTAGCCTGATTCATTTTGATAGATCTAGTTTTTTCGACATTTTTGAATGGTTCTTTTAATTTTTTTTCTGAACTAGCGGCTTTTTGTTCTTATTTCGGAAGTGGTGCGAAGGGCAGCCTCTGTGTACATATTCCATTTACAACATTTAAGGTTATATGACTGAACATTATTATAGATGACGCTTGATGTAACTTTTGTTATCTTGTCAATTTTGACCGAAGCCGAAAAAAATTGAAGAAAATTCATGTAAACCTTTAACATTCTACTCCTGCAGATTATTTTTCAATTGCTTTCAGGTCATATTCCTTTACGATCATTTGAGGGCAAGTTCAACTCAGGAATTTTTCTCATTAGTGCAGGCCCGTACTACTTAAGCAAAATGTTTTTTGAGAAGATCTCAAGAGATGCTTCACTACCATTTCACCTTTCTTTAACTTGATACAAAATACAAAGTTTCATTTACAAAATACAAAATTATGCTTGATAATAACGATTGTTCAGCTCATCTAATCAGATTGCCTAGAGAACCATAACCAATTTCTTTTTCAGATTTTTAGAGATAGATCTTTGCAATAACGCATTGAGACAGCAGACAGAAGATCTTTGTTGGGTTCTGAGTTCGGTATCCTCTGAGGAGGCTGTGACATGAAAGTGGCAAGGTCAGATCATAATGTTTTATTTTTCGAAAATCAATTGATTTTGGATAATTCAATTATCGTCAGATAATTTTTAAGACAGTTTTAACCGCGCAAATGACAATCATGGGTAAAGATGACAACGGAAAAACCAAGAACTCAGGCTACACGATCCTTTCGCAAGAGGAGCTTGCTGAAGGGAAAACAACTGAAATTGTTGGCCTGGAAATAACAGGTAGATATAGATTTTATTTTTTAACTGACTGATGTTTTTATTCTGAAATTGTATATAATTAATTTTAGGAATGGTCCGTAATTTGAGTCCTTATTTATGGACCAGAAGCTTCTGCGATATAACGAGACTTGTTGTGAAAAGCAACCAATTAACCAAAGTTCCGTCTGAAATAACGAATCTTAAACGTTTGACTCATCTAGACCTCTCCCATAATATGCTACGTTCTTTGCCACCCGAGATCGGAGACCTAGTAACTCTGAAGTAAGTTCAGTATTTATTGAAAAAAATTTGGAATCAGCAAGGATATTTTTGTTAAGTTCGGGCTGTTTAGAGAACTATTACTGAGACACAACTATTTGAGGCTATTGCCATACGAGCTGGGCAAGTTGTTCAATCTTCAAGTGCTGAACTTAGATGAGAATCCAATGGCACCTGAAGTTAGCCAGCTGTATTCGGATCCAAGGAATGTGCAGAAACTGCTGAGTTTCATGCTTGACAAATTACCCGGTAAGGGTTTCGCAATTTACGAAATAAGTGCTCATGTTGAATATTTTTGACCAAGTAGATCTAGGGTAGAAATACATTTTGTTGCCCCGTCTTAAAGAGTTTCTGCAACCGAGGTTTTGTTTAAGTACCAGAACCACAACGGACGGCACCACAAAGGCAATGGAAGTCATTACAGGAAGTAGATCAATCAGCAGTTAGCTGTGAGTTGCTTTTTGAGCGTCTGTCAATGAAATATTGGTTGTGGTTTGTCTAACATTATATCCCTTTTTGTCGTTTTAAGATATATTCACAATAATGACGTACAACATTCTGGCTGAGAACTATGCCACGCGTAGCCAGTACGGCTACTGTCCGAGCTGGGCGCTCAGCTGGTCATACAGAAAAGACCTCATATTGAAGGAAATTATAAGGAATCAGGCCGACATCATTTGCTTACAAGTAAGTCTTCATTTTTCGGTGTTCGATCTTCATCGTTGAAGTGAATGAATCTGGATTGCGTTTTAGGAAGTTGTAACTGATGAATACAACCAGTTTTTTCTGCCAGAGTTGAGCAAGGAGGGATATAAGGGAATTTTTGAAGCCAAGTCGCGCGCCAGGACTATGAACGAAGAGGATAGACGTTTTGTCGATGGATGTGCTATTTTCTACAAATCTGATAAGTAATTGATTTTCAATTCGGAAGTTTAGAAGCAAGCAAAATATTCACGCTTTATTTGTGATAACTCGAGTAATTTATGTGTGTGCGAGAAAGCTTTTCATTCACCTTCTAAGAATTACTTTGAGAATTTGATGTTGAAGGCGCTAACGAGGTCTTGAGCTTAGGTTTGAAGTGGAGAGCAGGGAGCTAATTGAGTTTAATATGCTGGCACGTCAGATAGTGGAGACTGCGAGACAAAACGGGTCGACAAATAAGGCATCTGACGATGTCATTAACCGGGTCATGACTAAAGACAACATCGGAGTTGTGGCCGTGCTGAAATTCAAAAACCCACCTGACAACATTAACAGCGGTTAGTAAATATTCGATCCAGAAAAGCGCTGTGCTTGTAACACATAATGTTTCAATTATAGTTCACATTGCTACACTTCTGAAAGCGAGTGTCTTGTTATGGAAAAACTATGCGCTTTTATAAACAAACCACAACGCATAGAAATCTATAAACCCAATTAATTTAGAAATTTAAAAACACTACTTGCATAACGTGTTCAATTTAGTAAACTCTTTTGCTGCATAGCATTGGCAGCTTAATAACATTAGATTAATAACATTTTGATGGCTAGTGTTAACAGCTAGCAAGCGCTCACGGCGGAGATGGAAGGACGTTAAACGGTTCATCTCCAAGACCTTTTTTGCCTTGTTTGTGCTTTTTTTGCAAAAGTGTTAAGACTTGGAAAAGTGTAAAGGTGTCGAAAAACGTGAATGACTTCCTGTTTTTAAAATGGACTTCAATGTTCAGAATCCCCAGTGGGATAAAAATTATTACCTATTGGTCCAGTTTTCTCTAAATGGGATAATTTTGAGAAAAAAGACGTATCAGAAGCAATTCTTGAAAGTTTATAGGTCAAATATTTTTAAAAGTCGATAAATGTAGTTCAGATTCTTAGATATAGATGATTTTTTTTCTTCCTGCTTTTCAAAAAAACTTATAAAATCTGTTGTTAAGGTTCAAATTTACTTTTTCGCGGTTCGACTTTTGATTTCTCGTTAAGCTCATTTCATGTCCTTTGTTAAAAGGAAGGCAAACTCCACAATCGAACAGCAAGAGTGTAAATGTCAAGAAAAACTAGTATAGAGAATTTAATTTTCAGATTTCCCAGCGAAAAAAAACCTTTTGATCCAGTTAACTCCAATGGGGTCATTTTTGTTCAAAAAAAATTGTCTATCATAAATTGTTCCAGAAATTCAAAGAGCTTTAAGGGCATCTATTTTTTTCTTCGAAATTGGAAAGTTGAGATTTTTTTCAAAAACAGGCCAGCATTTTTTCTGTTTACTCTCGTTCATTGACTCTTTTCCAACTGTCTGTTGGCTATGTTTAGAAATGTGTTTTGGCTTCTTTGTTCTTTTGCACTTAACCAACTGATTTGTTGGCTATTTTTGCTGTTTCATCTTGAAGAATTGTAAGTTTTTGTTTTGTATGTTCCCAATTGTGACTCTTCTAAAATCAGCCCCTAAGAAACCCTCAAAAAACAGGAACCATCAAAACAAAATAAATGAACACCATTTTAATGCAAACTGCCTCAGGCCAAAACTAGATATCAAATTACATAACACGGCAACATTACCTACGCATGAAGTTTTCCTCAAAGGGTACGAAATTGTTGCTCAAAACAGAGCAAACTGTCGTGGAAAAGGGCTTGTATTCATCATCAACGACAATATTAAATATCAAACAATCAAATTCCCCGGAAATGAACCCCTCGTGAAACAGGCCATAGTTTTTAAAACATCCAGTTTAACACTGTAACTTTAGCATCTAAATACCGGATATACTGTGTTACTTCAGCACCTAATTACAGATGCTTTCTTCTAAGGCGATACCATTTCACCCAACGCACTGCGGTTCGCTGAGCTACAGCTTGACTTATTTCAGCCTATTTAGCTCACTTGACATTCGTATAGCACCAACAAGTCTTGCAATGTACAGCGATTAGCTGTGTCAAAGAATCAAAGACGGCTTTCCCCGTCCCAGTGCAAGATCTCGATTCTGCACAGGCCATCCGTGTTTCCGTTTTCTATTCCTTCGACTCTTTTCAATTTTTAGTATCTAAGTTATACTTTTTAACGTGAATTTCACAGAAGACCAACACGGCTTCTAAAGAACGATCGATAGCCACTGCCTATCACTGCATTTTTTACTACATGAAAATTGGTTCAAACTAGGCCAAACTCCGTCAAAGAGCTCCAATTTTCACTAAATAGTTTACATTAGTTTTAGATACTGTTGACCATTACTATCTATTCAACGGTATCGCCCGCTATAATCTGTCTAATACCGCCAAAGGATAGAATTTTCTCTACCTCTGAGGTAGGCATACCTATGAAGTGTTCGGAGGTACTAAATCCAAATGCATGAAGGTGACACAAGGTGGTGTGTTATACCTGGTATTAGTTTTCAAATGCCACTACCTGAGAGTGAAAACAATAAAGTTACGAATCAAATACGCAGACGATATAGCCCTAACAACTCCATGGCATACAATAAAGGATCGTACAGAAATAATGAATCTATACTTCCTTAAACAGCTTCCTTAACTGCCGAACTCAGAAATTTTTCTTAATCTAATTATAAAGCAGCAACACATCTCTTCCATGTGGATAAATCGGTTATATCTCCAAGCAAAGGTCTTAGTTGATGGCACCGAATTACTCAACTGGAAACCGCAAAGTTGCTTGGAATTACTTTTGACCATCAATTGATTATCATTCAGTACTGCTATAAATCCTGCGATAATTTTCATAATAAACAATGTTTCCCGCATCACTGTTTACCGAGTTCTCCCGAACATGTTACATAAGACCGCCCACTATTGAGCCATTATTCAATTGCCCAGTAAATCCCGAAGAATCTGTCAAACGTCTACAGCTTATTCAATAACCTTAGAAAACACGATTTCTCCTCGGTTCTCAACAGTCAACCACAAAATGTCCGCTGACAAACTTGGCTTCTAAAGCGAGTCTTGCTCACTACATGCACACCGTCCTCCTGAGCGTTCTATATAGATCGAAGGGTACGATAACAGCAGTAAAATGGTGTCTTTGGAATATGGAGTTCCACTTCTACTGTGTTTTTTGCCGCTAGAGACCCTGGAGAACTGCAATGGTAGTATTGACGAAAATGGCATCATAATGTCCGGATATAGACGAAAGTTCTCTTACTCTCTCTATCTACCTCCAATATAATTGATCTCTCCAATTCAATCTAGAGCTCAAAACAGAGTAGGTTTAATCAGAACAACTAACACATGCGCATTAAACATACCAATGCCTGTCACAGTAAACGCAGTGTTAATGGTCAAACAATCATCAATTAATCTTTTCAGACTGTAACCGCACCACTTACCTCTTCGAGCAATAATTTTTTAATTGAGATTTTGATGTTTTCCATTTGGTAAACTATACTTCGTAAATTCTTTCTAGCTATCTTGTTCCGATAGAGCCGAAACCGAGATCGCTATCAATTCTGACTCTTCAGTTGAGACGCGCTGGAATGAGTCAGTCATCCCACTTGACAAATTGCAAATCCCTTTGCAACGACCCTCGCCATCTCTCTCCCTCTATCTCAGGCTTTCATCTTCTTTCAGGATATGCCCTTCTCAGGGTGTAATCTCCCCATGTGTAGGGAAATGATAGTTGCAGATAGCACCTTTCCACAGATCTTGCATTCTTTATTTTTGGCTTTATATTCTGGCTTAGCTTGGCGATGTCTCTGATTTGGTCGACGTTTGACGCTTGTGGCTTTTATTCGCCCAACAGATTTGCAACACTTTTATTTCTGGTATGTTCCATGGGCGTACTGCAAGGTCAAACAAGAGGTCGCTTTCTACGCAATCTTTAAATATTTCTGCTTGCTGTCGCTTGGACAGGAGAGTGTGCTGAAGTCTTGCTTTCACTTTGCACCACATGCTACCTGCTCTTCTTTCGTTCCTTATATCAGCTTGTCTACCAATCCAGCATCCAAGCTTTCATTGTTTCCCAGCAGTTTTTTTGTTTCAACCAGATTTTCCTGGCGTTCTCCAGTTCCACATCTTGACTGTTGCCTGCTCTTTCTCTTTTGCAATGGTGGTTAATAAAGTGTGAGTGAACATTAAAAGGTGTGAATGAGCGTAGTGAAGACATTTACACCTTTTTGAATTTTTCTCGTTTTTGTTTCAAGAGAAAGTGTTTTACATTAAAGAGAGTAGTGTTTCTGTCTGAACTTTTTTACAACCTCCCTCGCAAATAGAAGTGCTCACTTGGTGACACTTTTGCTCTAATCACGATCTGTATCATTGGAAATTTCATAGCTTCTGTTCTCTGCTCTGTATCTGGCTAGTTAATCGTCCGTTGGTGAGAGGGAAGGACGTGCGACTCCAAGTATTGCGTTCACTAGTTTGAATCCAACACATAGGAAATGTTTTCCAACTCCTTTTTTTCTCCATTTTCTTACTTCACTTTGTTGATTTTTTTTGTCGTTTTCTCGCTAGTGTTAGCGAGCGCAGTTTCGCCTGTGTTTAATTTTCTGTGGTATGTTTGTTTTTAAATATTTCTAAGTTGAAATCCTATTAATTTGCTATAAGTAAGGCAAATAAAGCTCCTTCTTAATGAATTTGCAAATGGAGTGAAAAACGTGAATGACTTTTAGTTTTCTAATGCATTTAATTTTCAGAATTGCATGTGGAATAAAAAAAGGTTTAGCTTTATCAAAAAGCATTTAAAAAGGATTAAGGAAATTCGAAGAAAGTAAATGTAGTCGTGGACTTCGATCACCTTAAATTGGTATGTTCTTGGAAAGTAAAAAGTGAAACTCAAAAGTTGGTTTTCTTATCCATGACAATTTTTCAACTCGTGGCTGTGTTTTTGAAACAAATAATCGACCTGCACGTAATAATTGTATGAAAACAATATAAGTAAACGTTTGTCTGTCGTGAAAGAAGTGATAAAAGCCGTTCGCAATACAGACATTTGTGTGTAATACAGACTTTGAATGTGTTTCAGCGTCGGATGAGTTGAAGAGTAACTACCTAAACCAGATCATGATCTCGAACGTGCACATCCACTGGGACCCCGAGTACTGCGATGTGAAGCTTATGCAGATTTTACTGTTCCTGACAGAATTGCGTCGAAAGATCTCGGATCACATACCTTTGGTTTTAACCGGTGACTTCAACTCGCTGCCATCATCGGGCGTGATCCAGTTTCTGCTGGACAGTCGCATCCCCTTCTCACATCCGGATTTCAAAGAGATAGACTACAAACACTTCTTCGATGAAATCTCAACTAGCGGAGACGATTCGAGCAAGATCACACATCCCCACAATTTGTCTTCTGCATATCCCCTCGACAAAGAAGGCTGCTTCACCAATTACACCTACGATTTCAAAGGTAATTTAATTTGCGTTTTTCAACAGTTATTTCATTTTAATTTCTGAATGATGCAGAGGTTTGAACAGGAGATTATTGGAATACGTTTTTGTCATTGTAGGTATTTTGTTGATGAGATGAATGTTTTAGGGATAATCGACTACATTTTCTACCCTCAGGACTACATGAAGCCGCTCGGAATACTTGACACTGTGGACTCGCAGTGGTTCCGCGACAACAAGATCCTAGGCTGTCCCCACCCCTTAGTACCCTCAGACCACTACCTCCTACTCACTGAGCTGCAGATGTTCCTGGGCAACCAACCTGCCCCAAACACTAGCCCCCCTAACAGCAGTAAAAACAAGAACAGCATCACTAACTAGAAAAGGAACGGAGCAACGATTGGCATTGGAAATCCAATTAGCAATTCCCACTCATACTCCTTTCCCTTGAATTGTATTAAATGCAGGACTTTGAACGGACAACACTATGAATGAGCGCGAAAACTGACAGAAACTACCTATATAAACTTGCCCCTAATTAATGGTCTTTCAGGAATGGTAAATATTTTAACTGACGAAAACGTGGTAGCCATATGAATTATCAATTTACTCCTAATGCGACAAATTCCGAAATAGAACGTACAATGATCCTGTGTGTACATCTTTGGTCGAATCCGGATGCTTCCTGTTTGGTCCTGTTTGGATTTGACCCCGAGACTTCAGTTAGTGAATTTAGTTTTATTCAGTTCACCTTAAAGAAATTTAGTTTGGCATAGATGCTGTGAAGATGCTATATTTTCTGAAGTAGAGACTCCTCGGGACATAAACAATGTAGATGCATTAGATGTTTATACTTTAGCTTACGACTTTTTAATCACCGTTTGTTGTCAATGTACAAATATTGTATCCAATTGCTTCACCTAAGTTCAAAGTAACAATTGTAAATTATTTCCACCCACACGTTTTAAATTGATATTTTACCCTCACGCGATGGCTAATGAACAAAAAAAAGCGTTTAAAAAATAAAATTGTGCTTCTTTTATTTTACGTATTACCCGATGTTGTGTTTTTAACGGATCCAACCAATTTAAGCGAGTTAAATTCATTATGAGTGTTATTTTAACCTCGCAGTGTAACCCAAACTTACTGAAAACTGACTCGTAGCCTTTTTTGCAGAAGAAGTATCTCTTCAAGTGAAGTCGCGGTGTCTTCACTGATCCCACTGAAATCCTCCTCTCAATTCCAATATTCGTTGTGTCTGCCTTTCGGAGGTCCATCTTGTTGTGTACGTAGTATTTTATTGATTCAAATGTGTCTGATTGGCTACAAGAACTCTGTAATTTTTCAACCAATGCTGCTGTAGGTCCTCTTGATGAACTAGTATCTACCTTCCTGATCTTTGACCTCTAGCTACCTGCCCGTCCTTTTCCATCTGCCCCAACCAGTAAAACTTTTTTGCCTTCTAGGCTTCAACCTTGAGTACTGTGCTTATTATTTTCAGCCGCTTTCTTTGAATATTTTAGCAGAAAGTTGTTTGATATTTTTTGTAATTTAAGCGAAAGTTGTCGTTGTTATTGTTTCTCTCTTACGGTAATGCTTAATGTTTCGTTTATCTGAGACAGAAGATTCTGGCAATTCAAACTGTTTTTGATAACTGAATGGCAAAGTTCACGCAGTATTGATCACGTTTAAGGCTAAGCTTCGAAAGGCTAGTTAGCTAGCAAAATAGAAAATCTCAAGTTGCAGAAGCAGATTTTCAGACAGAATGGTTATATTAAAGACATGGAAAGATATGTAAAACAAAACAGCTTTAATTGAGAAAATAGATGAATCCTTGAAACTAATAACATGACCGTGTTCGAGTTGTCTTTTGAGGTTTCTTTTGGTTTGGATGGAGGTGCTGCTGATGGCTAGTGAACAGGTGGCCTTGGAGGGAGTGGCCGGAATCACACTCACCAAACTCTGGTTCGAGATCGGCAGACTCCTTGACAAACAGATCACTCGTTGTCAAAAACTGCGCATCATCAGCTACCTGCTCGTAAAACCCGGATGCAGGTTAAAAGCTCTTCTTCGCCTTTCATTCGTTGAATTCAAATGCTAAGGATGTCTAAAGAAGCAGACTAATTTTCAAACATCTCCTTTGGCAATTTTTTTTAATTGCAAGCGCTTGCGTTTTGTACGAGTTCGATTTTTCCAACCGAACTCCGACCCAAATTTTTCTGTTCAATCTCTCGGTTCCGATTCATTACACTATATGCTTATAATCCGGCCGTAAATTAAAATCAAAGCTGATAGTATTATTAAAGGCTATAGTATTTGTTGAGTCATTTTGAAAATATTGATGTCCTGAGCTCAAAATTATTAAAATATTATTTCAATTGCGATCACTTTTGCGATATAATGAGCCTCCGAAATCATCTTAATCATGCTAAAAAGATTTCGGGCATTTATTTGGTATTATTATTGCGTTTTCTGATGCGAAGAATATCATTTTTGTTCTTGAAAAGAAGTGTGGGGGTGTAAAAATATCTGATAGATAAAAAGTTTTCCTTTGCTTAAATTTTCATTATCTAGATGGTTACCCTTGCAATATGCAAGGGTATTGCAGCCGGGTACTAGATTTTTTTCCCGTAAATTACTCTCTCGATCTCTCTCACACACATGGTCTGGAATTAGCGAACACTCCTGGAACGACAAAGGTCCTAGATTCGAATCTGACAGGACCCTGTTTTTTTCATACTGGAAAAGTTCTGTTTCAAACAATTGTCAGACTAGTATTTGACTGCTCACAGTTTTTGTCGGCTTAGTCGAAGAATTTTTTTTTGCCAAACGCAATGTACATTGTAGTTGCTGTTAGGGTTGTTATTTACTTATGCTGTTTGTTAATTCTTGACTTCGTTTATTTTCTTTTTGTTTTTTTTCTGCTCAAATGGTTTCGGTTGATATTTTTTTTGGCTTAGTGACCTAATTATATCGGCTTAATGGCTTCATATTGCGTCTTTCGACAATTAACTTTATTAGTCATAACTTTTGAATTTTTTTCCGGCTTCTTTTAGTTTTCATTTTTTTTCCGGCTTAATAGGGTTTGGTTTATATTATATTGGCTTATTGACATCATATTAATTCATTTGACGAGCTAATAGTGTTTGTGTTTTGACGGTGAGCGTAATTTCATAATTTATTTCAATAATTCTAGTTTTTTCGACATTTTAAACTTTTTCCTATTTAGGGGCTCTCGTGTTTTGTATCGTAAGTGGAGCGAAGCTGAGCTTCGCCTCTGCGTCATATTTTTTGGCGAATGTAATTGAGGAATGATTCTATTAGCAATTTAATTGGTATAATTTTCAATCAGTTTTGTCGTCAATTAATTTCATTTTGCTTTAAGTATTTTCTACTCTATATGTTTTTGTAGAACGATTACTTCTGTAAAGAAGAGACTCGGTTTAGGAGACCTTAAGTGCTATCAGATCACTAAATACTTCTACATTTTTTTGCATATTTTTCTTGTTATTTCCCGAATTTTTTGCTTCAAAATAACAAATTTAGTTTATTTTCGCTATTTGTTTTCAGTACACTTAATGTTTTCTTTTGTTCTGTATAGTGTGTTTTTTCATTAGTAATTCAACTATAATTCTTAATTTCTTGTGATGTCTTAGAAATTAGTTGCTAATTGGCTCAAAGTAATGGCACATAGAAATTTTTCTGCTTCAAAAAATCCAACTTTTGGATTTTTATGAGTATCATTTTTGAGACCATCATATGAAATATTCGGGTGTTAGGTTTTTTGGCGTTGGATTTTTTCGGTTCGGTGGCTTTCAGTCTTGCAAGTGGTGCGAAGCCCAGCTTCGCCTTTGTTCAAAAATAATTTTACCTTTGCGATAAGCAAGGGTATTGAAATCTGGTACTAGATTTTTCCCCTAATAGATTGTTTCACAGAACTCACTTCCTGGGCCCTGGGCTCACTCATGTACAGCCTTTATTTGCGAGAGCAAGTGACTTTTGATCGGAATCTACATTTTTTCTTCTAAAAAAAACTTTCTGCCGACATTCCGACATGCTAAAAGGATCACATGCTCTAATTCAAATAAAACTACTTTTTAGTTCGTGTTGGGTATTGAAAGTTTTTTTTAATTCAAATATTGAAAAAATATAGGTGTTTTCTTGGTTTGTTGTTTTCGTCTTAATTTCTGTCGGCTATTTTTCCGAAGCATTTATATTATTTGATAAGTTTTTGAAGTTGTCCGTTTTCAAAGAATGGGTTTTTTTTGTGTATTGTATCGGTAGTCAATTTATGTTGCGTTGTTAGGGGCAAATTGGTTTTTAATGCTTCTGTCTGTTTCAGGGTCGTACGAATTTTGCTTCAAAAGTTTTTTTTATCTAGAATGTTCATAAGTCTACAGTTTCGTTTTCGGCTTAACTAGGGTCGATATATTTTTTTAGCCTTTTTTTACTGCTCGATCTTTGGTTCTTTATGCTTGATAAGGCTGTTTTTGATCATTGTCCGAGATTAAGAAATGGAATTTTTGTAGATAAATTTTTGACTTTTTTCTAGTAATTTTTTCAGCTTAATTTTAAAAAGAATCTACCTTTTCTCTTACTCCTTTCAATATTTTGTAAAGCAATGTTTTTTGTATCATAATTGTCGCGAAGCTGGGCTTCGCCTCTGTGTTGTTAATTGAATCAACCTCCTGGTGCATCTAACGTAGAGGTAACACGCCTGCTTGAGACGGCAAATACTTTTGGTTCGATCCGGTCGGGATCTGTTTTTTTTTGCAAACAATGAGCTTTTTTGAACTATCGTCCGTCTGTTTGTTTTTGTCGAAATAATTCCCGTAGCATGCTTTTTATGAAGATTCAGCTCTTTTATAAGTTGCTCTTACACCCATGCTTGAGGACAAAGACCTGGAGTTCGATTCCAGTCCGGACCTGTTTTTCTTGCAAACTTTTCAGCACTTTTAGATTTTTGTATGCCTGCTTATTTTTGCTTTAGATCTTTTTGGGTGTTTTGAGATTTTTATAACTTTTTTTTTTGATTTTTTTTCATATGATTTTAATCACCTGCATTCATTTTTGTGTCGCAAGTGGTGCGAAGCTCAGCTTCGTCTCTATGTAACTCATGTTTTTGTGCGTGAAGTGCAACTTCGCTTTTGTTAGTTTTGACCTGCTATGTCAGCCCACTGACCTAATTTGTCAGCCCATTGGAAACACGTTATGAATGCTAAAAGCGCTAATTGAGTGATTTTTCAATTTTTAAGTCTTTTGTTTCTGAAGTTTTTGAACTCAAGCAAACGCTTGTATTATATTACGATTTGACTTTTTTCTAATATAGATCGCACCAATAGTGTCCAACAAATAAGTTCTGTTTTTTCTTGTTTTGAAAGTGCCAATTCGCCGTTTTGTTTACTTTTGCATGGAGGGTATTGCAATCGTTTACTAGATTTTTTCCGTTAATTTACTACGAGAAATTGTGCATGAGAAGTTTAATGCTTATAATAAATTCAAATCCAAAGGCGGTTTCTGCAAGGACCCTGGCTGGTCGAAAATAGTGCTTGTTCGATTTCGGCCAAGAGCCATGATTTTTCTAATTGAAACTTTTAAGGGGAAAATAAATGGTCGGACTGTCGTTTGGCTGCTTGTTTTTATCGGCTTGTTTCCAATGCATGAACTTTTCCTTTTTAAATAAATTTGAACTATAATTGCCATTTATTTTTTTCTTTATAAATTGCGATAATATTTTGCTTTAATGGTGAAAACTTTTTTTATGGTGAAAACAGTTGTTTTTCTGCTTCAGTGTTAGGCGTAAAAAACAGCTAGAATTTTTTGCGAGGTTTTTTTTGACTCAAGCTATACTACCCAATTATTGTCTGCTTATTTATCGATTGATTATTTTTGTTTCAAAACGCATTATTTTTGGCCATTGCGTTTTTCCATTGCGAAAAATTTTGTTTGTTTTTTTGACTAGCTGCCGTGATGTTTTTGTGTCAATTCGCAAGTGGTGCGAAACTACGCTCCGTCTCTTTTTTCGCTCTTTTCTCATATCAAATTTTATTTTGCTAAATGAGAGGTAAGTTAAGTTATCCGATAACAAACAGCTAAAAATGAATTTTGTCTTTTGTTTCAAAAGTAGATTTCAGTACTCTACACTTGCGAAAGCAAGTCGCTTGTAATTGATAACTAGATATTTTTCCCGTCAACAAACTTTCTTATATTTGCATCTTGCTTTATTAATGAGTCTTAACAACTTCGAGGTTCCTTCGCACTTGGGCTAGATTTAACGCCATCGCGTTTGCACCCTAAGGACTTAAGTGATATATCTGCTCAAGTTTTTTCGGCTCAACTGGCATCTCCCCTAATATTGTCGGATTTGTTTCCGCTTCGCAAGTTTTGTTATGCTGCTTATGTAAAATTCAAAGGTCGGCTTAGTTGCGTTGTTACGGATTTTTTCTGGGCTGTTGATAACTTTTATTGTAACCGAAAGAGTTTCGTCTTCTGTAATTTGTAAACTTACTTTGTAACTTTCCTCGTTTGTTCTTCGCTGGTTTGATTGGCTTCAATTGATTTTGCTTTTGTTTTATCGAGCAAGTGACTTAGTTAAACGTTGTTTTAAAGGGAAAATAGATTTTTACGCTTTTTTTGTTTCCGCAGGGGGAGCAGCGTAAAATTTAAGATTTTCGATTTTTTCAAATTTTTCAAAATTTGTGTCCGAATACTTATTAAACGCCAGTTTTTGTGGTTTTAATTTGAACAGCATTCCAGACAAATTTCTGAAAATTTTGTAGTGATGGTTTTTTCGAAATGTTCTAATTGTTTTTCGAATTAGTGGATTTTGTTTTATTTTCTGTCTGCTAGCTTGCAATGCTATGTGTGTGTTGCATCGCATTTGGTGCGAAGCTCCGCTTCGTATCTGTGTAAAAAATGCGCCGATCATAAATCGTTTTGAAATTCAAAGAGCTGAAAAGGCATCTATTTTTTTCTTTGAAATTCGAAAGTTGAGATTTATTCAACTAAGTCAGTGTTTTTTTATGTTTACTCACGTTAATTACTCTTTTTCAATCTTCGAATGGCTATGTTTTGCATCAGCGGCTGTCCCCATTTTTTAACACAAAGTAACGGCTCTGAAAATAGTCTTTTTTTATTTGTTGACTTTTTTGAAGGTTTTTTTACTTTTCTCGAAAACTACCCTCCCAAAAGTGAGATTTTGGGTTCAATTCAATTCAAAGAAAAGTTTATGGGAAATTTTTTCGCAATTTTCACAGCTCAAACTTTTTTGCCTCACAAAGTTATGGGCCTCGGTAAAGTCCTTCAAGCGAATCATGCTATGACCTTCAAATAAATAAAAAAAAATTTGAGTTTTGACCGTTTTTGATACTTTTTGACCTTTCTCGAAAACTACCATCCCTAATCGGTAGTTTTGTGTTCAATCGAAATCATAGGTTGCGTGAATCTCTGTTGCATTAACGGCTACGCACCATATTTGTACACATAAAACTATGATTCTCGGAATTGTCAAGTTTTTGATTTGTTGGCCGATTTTTGGACTTCCCTCAATCGAAACAACAGGTTGCTGAAAGTCTGCCTTAATAATTGGCTACGCCTAATTTTTTTTCGAAACAAGCTATGGCCTTTAAATAAATCAAAGTTTTGAAAAACTTTTTGACCTTAATCGTTAACTACCGGGCCAGTTCTCAGGTTAAGTGTTCAATCAAGATACCCCAGTTTTGTCATCTTCTCTACTTTAGCAACGACGATCTGCTTTTTGCTGAAAAAGTCATGTTATTGATTTTTTGACCGTTTTTAAAATTTCTTAAATATTTTCCTAAATACCCTAAGAAATCTGAGATGAAAAATTCAATTGAGAGAACCTGGTGCGAGAATTTTTCCTGCAAAAGTCCTTGAAAAAGTTCCATTATCACAAAAATTTTCATTCTTCGCACGTATTTTGTTAGAAACAACTTGTAGTTTTTGGGCAAAATCCAAGTTTTTATTAACACATTTCGATCACAAACATTTTTTGGCTCTTCGAGTTAAAGAACACCGTGTAACTGTCTGTTGACTGTTTTTATTGAGTGTTATTGAACTAAGTGAATCTCAGCTATTGTGGTTGTTGTCTTTTCAAAATTTTTCTGTGAACTTCAATTAAAGCTCAAATTTTGTAAAGATGTAAAAGAGTCGCCAACGGAATTAAATACACGTGGAATCAGTAATCTCTTCTCAAATTGGACCTTTTTTAAATCAAAACAGGGACAGTTTATTTAACCGAAATTGATTTAGCTTTATAATTTTTTTCGGGGAGAAAAGCAATAATTTTTCAATGCTTCCCTCATTTTATTAACACTTTTTCAATTGGTTGCTGGCTGTGTTTATACCTACGAATAAATAGAACCCTATGATAAAGTTGGTATTTAGGTGTTACTATCTAGACCAACCGCGAAAGTTAACGGTTGTTCCCTTGATAACTGAACCACTTCTGTTATACGAACAACAGCAGCGCAACTACAGCCCATGTGACGCCGTGCAATTTCTCAACAAGAACTTGATTCCGTCTGTTCAAGCCAATCAACTAGTAGCAGATTTCGGATTTTGTCCCGACCGCTACAACCGAGTAGAAATGGATGATTTGGATTGCGAAGATGTCTTTGAGTACGACCCGGATAGGCTCACGTTCGTAGCTAGTTTTGGGGACAGAGTTCGATTATTACTTCCTCCTGACGCCTGTGTAGAAGACATTCAGAATGAGACCTTCAGCACATTCATGTTCCTGGAGTACCTCGCAAAGTGTAGAGAACGCGGCGCTTTCATTCATGAATTAAAGGCAGTGTATTATACTCGTTTAAGTTATGTTCTCAAAGTTCTCAATGAAATCTCTAATGCGGCGATGAGGATTGGTAGGAAAGATTGAGGCGCGTCCAAAAAATTCCTTGATTTTCTGAAATAACAACTGCAAGGTCGACTGATAACCTTCCAACGCGTGAAGGTGCAAGTTGGTTAGTGTCAATGAGCAAAGTGCGAAGATGTGTTGCTTTTATGTCGTGTTGCCTTTTTCCAGGGAAGTCTATAAATTTGCTGATGCCAAATGTAATCATTTCCAGTTTGACTTTTGTTTTTTTAAGCTCGATTCAAATGCTAAAAGAAAGGCAAAATACGCTCTCAAAATCCGAAAGAGGAAATGGTGCGAAAAAATAAGAATTAGTTTATGGTTAGAAAAAGGTGTTTTTTTTTAAAAATTTTTAGAATTCCCTGCAGAATAAAAAATTTATCTAATGATGCAGTTTGATGAACTTTAACTAGTGTCAATCATAACAGATTTACAAAAAACAACGAGCTTTAAGCAGGGGAAATCTTTTTTTTGTCAATCTTTTTTTAGGTGGATTAGATTGACTGACCAAATAGGTTTTCCAAGCAATCTGAAAACACATTAAAGATTCAAAAATGTCGCGCCGCAGGCGATTTTTGCGTACTTTTTCGAAAGTTTTGACAAAAAATTGCGTTTTATCGGCGCGCATTCCCCTTCAAAATCTATTATCTTTTATATATTTAAATGCGGGCTTCACTATCTCGCCACGTTTAAGTTTTTTCAACGCATTATTTTTGCATGTTAAAAGAAAGAATTTTTTCACGTTTAAGCTATAATCGTATATTGCAATGGTTAAGATTTTTTTTTTCGATTTTCCAGTTTGAGTTTAGTGGCTATTTCACCGAGTTTAAATTAAGCAGCCCAATAGTGGGAAGCTGTCAGGATTTCCCGAGGGCTTGCAAATTTGACCTCCAATTATGAGAGCCCAAATCATTTTAGTGTACGAGATACGACGATTTTGAGGACTTTTTCAAAAATTTTCAGAAAACTCAAATTACAAAATAATTTAATATTCTTGAAGTTCCCAACCCTTTATTTGGGTGCATTCAGAGTACTCTCAAGGATTGCGAATCTTGCCTCCAAATATGACAGCTCAAATCCTTGTACTTTTCGAGTTCTGACGCTTTTTGTGATTTTTTCAAAAAGTTTTCAGAAAATGTAAATTAACTTTTTGTTTTAAAAGTGGAAGTTTCTAACCCTGAAATTGGATGCTGTCAGGGTACTCTCAGGAGTTGCGAATCTTGCCTCTGAATATGAATGCTCAAATCCTTTTAATTTTCGAGACAAGACGTTTTGTGATTTTTTCTTTTTTTTTCGGGAATTTCAGATTTAAAAAATCACGAAGTTTGAAATTCCCAACCCTATAGTAGGATGCTCTCAGGTTAATCTTCGTGGTTGCAAATCTGGCTTCCAATTTTCAGCAGAGGCCCTTTAAGTTTTAGAGATGATGCTTTTATGGTTTTTCAAATTTGGAATTAAAAAGTTTTAGAAATTTTGAAATTACCAACCCTGTAATTGGGCTCTGTCAAAAATTCGAAGCACCGGAATTGTGATACACGCTAATTAGTTTTTATTGGCGCCTTTAGAAAAATTTTCGGGTTCGTCGACCTAAAATGGATGCCATAAAATAATACCAAACGTGGGACCCTTTGGTTGATGAGGGGGTCGAAGCCCTGAGAGAAGGACATTCAAACCACCCCCCCTAAATCCGCCCAGGACATACTTTAATTTGAAGCTCGAACGCTGAAATTTTTTTTTTCAACTCTGTTAGCTATATATCAATTTTTCCATTTAGATTTTTATTTCAGCTTGAGTTATGTTGTCAGTTCGATTTTGTCTAAACTTTTTCTGTGTTCAGTTCTTGTCTTAAATTTCATGGTTCTGCTTTTTATTATTAATTGGCTAATTCTTAATTATTAAATAATTATTTAATTATTAAATGGCTATACCCCATGGTAAGTATCACCTCCCTAAGCTCTAACGTGAACAGATACTCAACTTCTTATTTAATTAGGAGGTTATTTTTTTAATTAAGTGAGGTGGTTTTGAAATTGGCGATTTGTCTATTTGCTGGACTAATTTAAGCGTGCTTTTGTTCTGCGACTGATTCCTACGTGTTCAAGAAAATTAATCTCAATTGATCCAAACAAATAACGCTCTTCGAGAATCAAATTAAATTTTTCAGTGCTTGTTTTTCTTGAAATTGATTCTTTTGACAGCGTAGTTTTTTTGCATTCAGCTACTTCGCCATCTTTTCGGTCCTCTTTTCGAAGTACAGCTTTATCTCTGATAAATTAAGTGAGAATTATATTGCGGTAATGGGTGAGAATTGTATCATTGGATTTGAAAAAGATTTTCACGAAGTTCTGACAAGTCATTTTTAACTTCATTTTCGTTTTCGCCGCTGTGTCGGAAATTGTTTTTTTTTGTTGATAATTGATATTAATATTACAATACACTGGCTGAAGGAGGACTGGGCGACTGGAATAGACGTGTACCCAATTGTGTCTCAGGCGTATAAGATGGGACAGGTGTGTAAAGAGTCAGGCGTTAGAACCGTCGGATCATTCGCAGATAATGGTGTCATAGTTAAACTGGCTCGGTTCGCTGATCGAACTAATTTGGACATGAATGAGTCAGAGGACAAACTGCCTCCATGGGTTGTAGCCTTCGACAAAAGAATGGCTGAATATAGAAATTTACATCCGGATGCAACTTCTTTGCCAAGAAAATTTCTTCGCCCATGTTATGGAGATGATCATCAGCTGAAGAAAGTTGTTGAGAAGATGAAAGCAGATGGCTATATCAAAGTCGTGTACATCAAATCACCTACGAATAGAGTGAATAAATTCGGTGAACATAAATACATTCCTCAGTTACAGAGAAGTCATCCCAAGGGCAAACTGCTTTGGAGCAACCCCATTTCACAAGACACCGCACCGACTATGGCACCCGAGCTGATAGAGCCGGACCAAACTATGGCAAACCACTATAGAGATCTCCTGAAGTATTCGGACGCCACAATCAACAATGTGATGGCTTATACGGGCAGTAACTATTATGTCGCCAGAGGTGTAGACAAAAATTTTTGTGCCAACTACAGTGAGAGTATAAATGTCAGGATGGTCGAAGTGTGCAAAACGGTGACGAAGGTGAAAAGCGCAAATGCCACAGAAACCCAAGAGGAAGCAAAAAGTAACGGCGATGGAGTAGGCTGCTTGAATGAGGATACAACTGTGGAAAATTCCCAGCATGGATGCAAAGAGATAGCTAAGAAGCCAACTGCTAAAGGCTCCAAAAAAGGAGGCTCAGTTCTTTGGAAGGATTTCCTTGGTCATGACCTTGAAGAGTTCGGCATTGAATTGGCGCCTGAAGATTTTGAATTCAAACATAAGTTTTTCAGAACTGATTTGCAAAAACTGAGAAGAGCAATTATTCTGAAGCATCTCGCGAAGATTTCTGTGATGGAAATCGCATTACTTGGTAATGTAGTTTCGTCTGTTGAAAAAGCAATTGGTTTGAACAATCCCATGTGGGATAGGAAATCGAAGAAGAAATTCTTGGATATTTTGTCATCTGAAGGACTGATAAATCAGCTGGGAGTAAAATATGAGAGGCATGGAATAGAAAAAGAAATCCATTTGATAGTCTTACCTGGAGTTGATGAAAATCACAAATTAGTTCACAAGCTCATAAGCGACAAAGCTACTGTTAGGTTCATTGAAAAAGACGAAAAAATGGAGTTTGTTGCCGAGCAAACCAGGGTGGCAGAGGCACTGCAAGAAGCCCCTGATTTAGATATAGGAGACGAAGTAAGCCCGAAAGTATCGATGCTTCTCAGAGAAAATCAAGAAACTTCAAACACAGAAATGCTGAATGGAGAAAGTCAATCGAATAATCTTTCGTCTCTCAGTGAAAATCATAGTCACGCCCAGAAAGAAAACGCTATGAGTGTTCTGGATGCCGAAAACTATCAACAGTGCAGTCAATTTGATTTAAACATGGATGGACTTAACGACAGTTGTATGGAGGCTAACATACCCACTCCTCCAAAGGTAAGCCGACATACGAGCATTTTAATTATTCCCGTCTGATCTCTGTTAACATGTAAAATCTGACATTTATATTATTTCAGTTAGTTTGCTTGCGCACATGAAATCAGACATTTTTCAGCTGAAGAACTTATCTCCCAGAATACTTGAATCAGTTGATAGCTTGAATTTTTCCGGAAATGCGTCCCTGTCTGGATTGATAAGGTTTCAAGATTCGAATCTGGCCTGTTTTTTTTAAAGATTTTTTTAGCGGTCTCGTGTCTGCTTATTGTTTGTCATCTTAATTGTCAGTAGTTTTCATTTTTTTTCACTCATTGAAAATCTTTTTGACGTATTACTGTTAATTATTTCCAACAAAATTAGCAATTTTGCCAAAATTTTGTGGGCGAACGAATTGATTTTCCGGGCTCTCCGGAAGAACTGTTCGTGAAAGCCCTATTTAGAGCACCTACAAAAAGATGTCTAGGGGTCTATCTCTTCGCCCAATCATAGTGAAGTCATAGTCTTTTAATAGCGATTATGATTTTGAAGACAAAAACTCGGCTTGCCGTTAATTTAGCACCTTTTGCAATCGACTTGGTCAATGTTTAGAACCCCAAGCAAAAGAATGACGAGGCTGCTTGGGGTAAACTGGGATGGAACGAAAAAGAGGAAGAAAACTCGGGAACGACCTTCGGACTATTTGTGCCCACGATGCACATGGCGAAGATATTGCACTCGATTTTGCTGTACAAGGTGCGAGGAGTGTCCATCTGTCTCTCGCCGAAATTCTTAAGGAAGTTGGACTCCTTCATGGTTTCTCCGTGTGCCTATGGAGATGGTTGGATCCACTACTCTGATGTTTTGGACATGCTTCCAATGAAGGTACAAACAAGTACTCAAATATCTGACATTTTAAATGTGGACTTTTTTTGTTTAAAAAAGAGTGTGATTGATGCAGCTCTGTGGTGTCGTTATGGATAAGTCAGTCCCACAGAGAAGCGTAGCGGCTTTTTTCATTCATTCTTTTTATGTAAAAGTAGAATATTTCTTGAAATTCTGTTTCATGCTTTAAATTAATCTTTCTTGACCTCAGGTCCTCGCCATGTTTCTCGAGAAGACAGCAATGAGTACCAATTTCAATGCCCTGTGCAACTTGTTTCTTTACTCTTATGAAGTAGCGGGATTAATCCACCCGACGCTAAGATCCATAATTGTGTCCAATGAGGCAATCGCGAACCGGGTGTGGTACTTGGTGAAAATATTGTGCGCGCTGGGACTGGTGACTTTGTCTCGTAAAACTATCGGAGAGCGAAGAAAGGCCGCCTTCATTTACATTCATACGAAAGCGTGTTTCTATGGTAAGTAACATTAATGATGGGCTGTTAGTATAGTCATCGCCCCAACTTTTTTGTATGAAGTACTGTAATGTTTGTTTCGTGCACATGATTTTTCCGAAAAGTTGACAAATAACTGATGCCTTTTTAAATGTTAAGACACATCGCAAAATCCTGATGTGCTTGACCTCAGCTCATATCCAACAACCATTCCATATCCTAAACTGGAGTTTGAGCTGAGAGACCTGGTCTCTCTGGAAGATTACTGGGAAAAGCTGAGGGATATTTCTGTGCGAACTTGTCTGAATGAGAAGATCGTCATCTACAACGTCTTCGCCAGTCGCTTCCTAACGCGCAAGTGGGCGCTACACAATGGGAGTGGGTTCAACTTAGAAAAATACTACATATCAAAGCCATCCGCAGTACCACAGTGCAGAGAGCCAGTGTTTGTTGATTTCGGTTAGGCTTTCAACTTATATTTACCCTTGCGATAAGCAAGGGTATAACAATCGGGTACTAGACTTTTTTTTCCGTAAACAACTTTGTCCACAGGACTCATTAGACTCCTTATGTATCTTGCTCCATAATGAATTCAAATTTTGTAGTGTCTCTTTCACACTTAGCATAGTGGCAGCGAATACGAGTGGGGCGGCAAAGGTCCTTTGTTTGAATCTGACCAGGTTCAGTTTTTCAAACGGTAAATATTCCGGATCGAAAAAGTTTCGGCCTATTATTTGTCTGCTTATGTTTTGTCGGCTTAGTTTCCGCATCTAACAATCGTTTATTTTAGCTGCAAACAATTCTCACTGCAGTTGCTTTAAGTATTTTAAACATCCGGCCGAATCGAAATTGGCTTTCCATATTGGTTGTAATTTTACCAGCTCGATTTCTTGAGTCTTTTTTTTTTTCATTGTGTCTTTTTTATCGGCTTAATAATTTTCGGCTTAATTAATATCGAATTAGTGGCTTCTAATTCCGTTGTTACAACCGAAAAAAGTTTTGTGCGTGTGTGTGTGTGCTTTGAGGGAAAAAGCGACTTAACATTTTATGAATTTCTAGAATTTTTTCTGAATTGTTTCCGGCATGAAGGGTTTCTGCTCAAGTATTTTCAGCTTTATTATCGCTTGGTATTTATAAATTCAAATATAATCAACCATCCAGCGCATCTGGCGTAGAAGTAAAACAACAGCTTTAGATGGCAAAGGCTTGGGGTTCGAATCCGACCGGGCCCTTTTTTTGCAAACTAGAGTTTTTGTGCTTGTTCGGACTATCGTCCGTCTGTTTATTTTCGTTGGCTTGCTTCCCATAGCTGGATGGTTCCAATTTTTCCGAGGTGCTGTAACCCCCATGCTTGGAGTTCGATTTCAGTTGAGACCTGTTTTTTTTTTTGCTAGTAGAAAATTTTGGCTAATTAGGATTTTTCTGTCTGCTTTTTGTCTGCTTAGTTCTGAAAAAAGGATTTTTTGAAAACTTGTCTGATTTATAGCAATCCCAAAGCTCTTATAGAGTTTCTACTGCTGCAGTTAATTTTATTCCCGATTTTTTTGGTCTTTTGTTGCAATTTGCATTGACAAAAACGGTTTTTTGAATTTTTTCTTTTTTGTCCATTTCATTTTAATCATAGACATTCATTTTTTATCGCAAAAGTTGCGAAGCTCAGCTTCGCCTCTGTGTAGTAATTAAGGGCAAGTGAGTGGTGGTAAAGTGACTCAAGACTTAGCCTCTCAGCCGATGGTTCAAGTCCCACCATGTTACATGCATATTAAGAGTAATGAATGTATTGAGTACTCTTATATAGGTCATGATGATTCTTTTGTTTTTCAGGAAAAAGTAAAATTTTGTTCAGGCTCTAATTTACTTTTTCGCGGTTTGATTTTTGATTTCTTTTTAGGTTCAGTTCATTTCCCTTGGTAAAAGGAATGCGAACTCTACGTTCGAATGAAAAAATCACGAAAAACGTGATCTACTTCTAACTTAGAAAATGGAATTTAATTATCAGATTTTCCAGCGGAATAAAAGTTTTACCCAATTATACAGTTTTCTCAAATTGGTTTAGGTTTATCAAAAAGTGCAACTGAAAAGGCTCAAAAAGTAGAAAAAAAATTGTTCTAGAAATTCTAAGAGGTTTGAGGCCATCTATTTTTTTCTTCGGTATTCGAAGGTTGAGATTTTTTCAAAAGTGTTTTTTTTTCTTTATTTTGCGTTCATTTCTGTTTTTTCAACTGTCAGTTGGCTATGTTCATTATAGTTGCGAGTGTTGTTCATTGTGTTTTTGGGCTCTTGAATTTTTTTACAAAATTTTTTTTTTTTTCGGCTCAGGTGGTGTCTGCTGAAAAATTGTCGGCTTTGTTTCCGCTTCGTCAGTTTTGTTCCGTTGCTAATTTAAAATTCAAATATTTTGCTTGGCATCTTTGCCTAGATTGAAACATTATCGAGACATACCAAAATTTTAGTAGACCTAATTTTTTTCAACATTTTTTGTTATTTTTTTGTACCTTGATGGTTTTTTATGTTTGTGTTGTATCGCAATTGATGCGAATCTCTGCTTCGCCACTGTGTTCAAAAACCAAGCCTGTTTTTTTCCTGCGTTAATTAGTCTTTTTCAACTATCGGTTGGCTATGTTTGTTTGAGGGAAAATAGCTCTTAGTTTGAGAGAAAATAAACGGTCTTAGTCGAAAATAATATCACGCTTGGCTCAAATGCTTTAAAGCTTGGTTTAGATGCTTTGAGTTTTATATGGCCTGTTAGTTTTGGTCTAATAACTTAACAAGAAGTAGCATATTTGACCTGATGAGTTGTGGTTTTGTTTGGTTGATAGGAACTGCTGGAACGGAGGAGAGGCTGTTTCTACAGGATCCCATCCACTGGTACCCAGTGAAAGAAGCCAACGCCACCCTGAGACAAATCGTGAGGCAGCTGAAAAGTGCACAAGATGTTAAAGACAGCTGTATTAAGAATGCATCTAAACAAAAATTGAGTACATTGGCCGAGAAAGACTACGGCGTGGCTGTAGGAAGGAATACCCGATGCGAGCACATGTCCCTGGTGCAATTGACGAAAACGATAAGCGAGAGATGTGCGGTGAAAAAGAAACATAGAGAGAACAGGATTTTACAGCGAAGTCTCAAGAGAGCGGCTGTGGCTAACCACACGAGTGCAGCTAGTAAGGCTGAAATTGCGGCTAAAAAATTGAAACTGGAAAATGCGGAGAAAGTCAAGAGGAGGATCTTAGATTTCAATGCGCGTCAGAAACAAATTAACCAAGAAATCGGAGAAAAGTTAGTACCCGATTGTATTATGTTATTGGAGCACAAAGGGGTGTTTGTTAAAGGTTCATAAATGCGTAGCCGTGAACTCATCTTTTACAGGGTGGAATTTTTTATACTAGGGACTATAACTATAGGGGGAATAGGTTACATTATTTTTAGTTTAACTTTCGGCTCTGTTTAATGTGCATGGTTTTTAAAGGGTTTGGAGTAAGAAACTATTAAATAAAAAATTAGTTTTTGGGGAAACCCCTGTAAAAAAAAAGGTTTTTTTTTTCATTAAGTGACGGTGTAAAGATGAAATAATATATTTTTTTTCAACACGTTGGCAGAAAGCCAGTTTTCCAAGATTTTTTTGCTTCAAAGTTTTTTTTTTACCTCAGAGTACACAAATCTCATGGAAAAAAGGTAATAAAAAAATTGTGAAAATATTAGACGTCCGCAAAGAATAGATAAACTTATTTGTTTCTGTTTTCGAGCTGAAATGATAGCACCGCAGATATTAATATGCCAAATATTTTTTTTTGGAATCTGAATCAAGACTGAAAGTGATTTCATAGGATACCCCACTTGATCACGTATAAGGTTTTTTTGAGGTTCTTAGAATAGTACCGAAAAACTCACCCTATGCTACAGTTCCTTGCCACTCTACGAGAGTGGTCGGAACTAAAAATGCGCTGCAAAATTTTTTTTCTTAAACGTGTTCGTGTTGTTTTGCAGCCAATACTGATTTTAAGTAATTGAATTGTAAATGTTGCGTGATAGCAGTTCTTTTGGTGGTTTAGAAAAGAGCACTTGCGAGTAATCTGGAGTTCGGAGGAAGACGCAGTGCTAGTGTATGGATACATAGCTCTATCTATCATGCGCGCAGTGTTACCTTTTCCTGCCCATAATACCTACAGATATCTTATCAGAGATTTCATACACGAACTGCTGCCTAACACTGCAAAGGGCAAGAATGAGGCCTCAATAGTGAGACGCTTTCGATACCTCATGAGTCACGACTACAAATCCATGTTGCTGTACTTCGGACTGAAGACGCACGCGGAGAAATTTCCAATAGTAGCCCAAGCAGTAAATGCATTCAAAGACGACATGAGCTCAGATGAATTGTACAACCACTTTAAAATCCTTTATAATGCTTTGGTTCACTGCAATCGTAAAGTGGCAATGGTTAGTGCGCATGATACTATGTTCCAGATAGAGAGAAAGTTTACAGTGGAGCAGTTTTTTTCTGTAAGCGGAACTGAAAATTTCTGGGACTATTCTGATCCTTCACAGCCTTGGAAGAATGCCCTACATGTTTCCATTCAAACATTGACTTTGAATTACTTCTTCGAGAAAAACACGCAACCCTTTACGGCCTCGACAATTGTGATGGGCAAACTCCTGGACGTTCCAAGTATCGCAGAACTAACAGAACCAGTTTATAATAGATTGAGGAGTCAAATTCTGGTTGAAAATTCGCGTGCCCTCAAAGATTTTCCGAAGTATAGGCGTTTTGTTGCAAACCTGAATCTACAGAGAGAAATCAACAAAGATAGTCCCTTGTTTATCGTGAAAATTTTTATGCTATGGATGACGAAACAAGTGTTCACAAAATCTTTGGTAACAATATACGAGGAAGAAAATTTTTCCGATGAACTTGTAAAAAGAGTGTTGCTAGAGCGCCAGAGTGTGATGCATGAGCCAGAAAAGGAGAGATACGCGAAGTTTTTCGTGCTGTGCTGCTTAATGGAAAGCTTACCCTACTTCAAAATGAGTCTTGACTTGGGGAAACCCCTATTCGATTACCCAAATCTCGACCCTGATTTAGGTACGTGTTTTCTGTGGCAAGGCATTTTATAATTTCAAAAATAATCATTTAAACAGCTGTTCCGCGTTATAATTATTTTATCAATATGATATCGTTTCTGGTGTTTTTTGTTGGTTTTTATTTGCAAAGTTATTGCAACCATGTACCAGACTTTTTTCGTTAATAACTTTGTTCACATGACTCATCTCCTAAAGCCGTGGACTCTCTCTCAACAGATCCGGCCAACAAGTATATTTTGAACATGCATTTATTTAAAATAACCGTTTCGCTAGAAATTTGTTTTAAAGTTGTAAGTTTACAACCTCGAGTTTGCTTATTTCATTTTTTGCGATAAAATTTTATTCGGCTTGAAAGTATTTGGTTTATTCTCATCAGATTGCATCGTATGAACGGCTATAATCTTCTTATACTTGATTTTTTTTCGGAGAGGAATTGATAAGTTTTTTTATGAGCTCAATTTTTAATTCAACTGGCGTTTGCCCAAGATTGTGGTTTTATTTACTGCTTGGTAAATTTGATTTCAATCCTAGTCTAATGCTTGGAATTATTTTCATGACATGTTATAATTCGAATTGAACTGCAATTCAGACAGTTCGAAAGAAACTTTGGGTTTTGGTAGATCTAGTTCGTTTTTAAAAATACCATTTTCTTGAATCAGTGACTTTTGTGTCGGCTATATTGCAGTAATATGTCTGAAAATTATCATAAATGGTGCAAAGCTCCGGCCGGCCTACTATAATATTGAAATTGCCTGAAAAAAACTTGAGTTACGAAAAAAGTATATATAATGGATTTAATAGCAGTATATTGCCAACTGCTTTGACGTTTGATTAGTAATTGGCTAACTCAGTTGATGGTTTTTCAATACATCAATTGAACGGAAAAAACCATTTGTTTCATACAACAATTTAGTAATTTAAATCCCTTTTCAGAAAATTTCCAACTTGGTTTATTTCGCGAGATTTTTGAATTGCATAACTTATCGCAACTTTGTTTAATACCTTCTTTTATTACATGCAACATTAGTGTGGTGACTTTAATTAATTACATTCAAAATTATTACATGCAGAGTTTTTGTGATTTCTCGCTCGTGTTTGCGAAGTTGCAACCTCGCCTCTGTGTTTAAGAAGATATGGTTTCGAGTTTCTGTTTCTTCAATTACGCCTGTTTTTATGCGTGTTAATTGTTTGTTGGTTTGAAAGTTAAATTTACAAAAGTTGCAATAATAATAAGGAAGATGATACATTTTTTGCTGTAGAAAAACTGTAAAAGAAGCGTGTTTTCATATTTTAATTATCTTGATTGATTTTTAAACATCTGCATCATCGGTTCGTTTGTAATATGCTATTTACACCAGCGCAGCGTAGTGTCTTATTACGGTCTCCATCATTTTATTCCAACCTAAGTCGCAAATGTGGAAATATTGTGGAACTATTGCAAAACCTACAAATTTGGAACTACTGCAGGCTTTTTTCTCTTCGATAAGAACGGGTATTATGAAAATGTATGTGATTTGGGTTTTAAAAATGTATTTTTTTGAGACGCATAGGCAATATTTTTCACTTTTTTGAAAAATTTGATTTTCTCAAAAACTGAATTACGGATTTCAAAAAAGATGGTACCAATGGAAAGATCGCCCACTCCTCTGTGTCTCCAGAAGCCTCACCCAAATTTTCGAACACTAAGTTGTGGTTCTCGAAAAAATAAAATGACTTTTTGTTCGAAACTTTTCGAATTCTCTCTAAAACTACCCTCCCAAATCTGAGTTTTTGGGCGCTCCTAAAAGATCACATTATGTAAAACTACTCTGCATCAGCGGCTACACCCAAATTTTTCAACACAAAGCTATGGCCCTCTGAAAAGTCAAAATTTTTTGATCGTTTTCTTAAAACTTTTCCTCGAAAATTACGCAGCCCAATCTAATGTCAAGTGTTTAATCGCGGCAAAAGGTTGTGGGAACTCTCCATGAATAAGAAGCTGCACCTTAATTTTTGTTAGAAAAAAAATTGGTTGTCTTCGGGAATTTTTCGGAGGCTTTCGTCGAAAACTACCTTGCCAAATCGCAAATAAAGGGTTCAATTGAAAGAACAGGTGCTAAGAGTTTTCACTGGATAGCTAAGTCCTAAGTTTTGAAGAAAAGTAATGTTGAGTTGAGAAAGATCATGTTTTGAAATGTGACCGTTTTTTGGAAATTTTATCTATGATTAAAGGTTCAATCGAAAGACTATGTATGCATTCTCTTTATAGCGGCTACGCCCTTATTTTTGTAGAGTTAGCATTGTTGAACTTGGTAGAAGTCAATTCTTCGATTTTTTTTCGTGTTGAAATTTTGGATATTTACTTTTCGCATCAGTACATTTTAAAAGTATTATCAAGCAGATACCTCCAGCTTTAGCTGGGCCACTAGTGTTTAAATATTGTGAAGCGGCAATAGAGCAGATACTATGACGGGTGAAAATCAATTGCGGTACATCAGAATTTTAGTTTAGGTTGTCTTTTTTCTTTTACCTTTTTAGAGCGACTTTTTGCCGTTCTCTCGCTTGTGTTTGCGAAGTGCAGCTTCGCCTCTGAATCCATATTTCCTTTTAGAAATGCTGAGCACGAAAAAGTCGACGGATAAGTATGACTCAGACTCAGAGGACGAAGAGGGGCTGAATGAAGAGCAGAAGATAGCACTGATCTCAATGCAAGAAAAGCGCTCAGTGCCAGGATCCATTAACGATACTAGAGTCAAAGGAGAAAAGAAACTAAAGGCCGAAAGAATAGAACTATGTTTTGATCACGACAAACTAAAAGCGAGAGAGGCGCAAAGTTTCGACAAGGCGGATAGAATCAGACAGTATCTATCCGTGACTTTCCAAGAAAGAGATCAAAAGATAATGGTAAACATTCCGAAAATTTCTTTAAAACCAGCTTCCCTTAATGAGGACTGGGAGTCCTTGAATGAAACAATGAAAGAGTTCTATTTCGACAAAGAGGATGGGTTCTTTCAGAAAATATCAGTTAAAACTGTTTATGATTTGTTGCTAATTCGAAGTCCTTCAGATTGCGAATTGCTGCCTGATATGCCTTTCTACGTTACGTCCTTTTCAGACATGCCGAATAGTGAGTCGCTCTCAGAAGTGGAGATAATCTTGCTGGCGTCCATACAGAATGCGACTCATGAGGGGCTTCTGTTTGAGGCTATTTTGAACGAATTCGGAGCTTTGTCTGAATTGGATTTACTGCAGCTTATCAGGTCTCTTATCGAAAAAGGTGCAATATTAATATGTGGAAACACAGACTTGCGCTTCTGTGCGCGTGAGTTTTGTCCATTTTTCACAAGTCTGAAAAGTGAAGAGACCGTTACAGCACATCGCATTCCGAATAGCTTTGTATCCATCAAATTTTTGCCGGCTGCTTTTATTAACTGGGATGGATCTCTTTGCAAGACCATGTTTGCTTCCGTCCTATTTTGGCTTGTAGAAACAACCACGTATCTTCCAGGAATGGGTTTTAATGATTTTTACGACCGCATTTCCTGCATCATAAATCAATTGCAGTTTATGAAGTTGGTCAAACTTGCAGAAAGGCTGAATTTGATAAGCATTCAGATCCACTTAGAAGAAACTGTGTCAGACGGGTTTTTCTTGGACGATGAATTAGATGAAGAATTGCCTGATAAAGCTCCTTCTGACTTCAGAAATGTCTTCTTGTTTCCAGTAGCCGAAGGAATGATTAGAACAAAGCTGCTGTGTGACAAATTCAATATGAAAAGACAATTGTTCTTTATTGGACCACAGAGATTAGTATTTTATGGGACGTCGTTACATTTGTTTAAAACAAGGAAAATTTTCGATACTTTCCATGGGTACTTGGATTTAACCTTTAGCGCTTAAAATATCCTGGCTTATCTCAATTCCCCGTAGTTTTTGACAATGATAGCTTCTTCATGTTGTTACATTTATCTTCAAAGTTGTAAATATTAAAATGTTTTTCTTTGTTCTTTTTTCCTTCCTTTTGTCAAAAATTTAGTTGTTAAATTTATTATTGCAATTTAATTTTTTTTTGAAGTCAACTATAGAGATCAGCGATTGTACAAGCAGCATAATCATTGCTCCTTTAAACAATCGAAATTAAAATGTTTTTTATTCTGATTGATAATTGGCTTGACTTGCTGTTGACGAATGCTCCCATTTCAGATGTTTGTTGACTCAATAATTGAATACTTGAGAAGTTTTGCCTAATTGTATCCATGCAGCCACCAATGGCGGTCATGCACCCCTCTGCGGGAAGTGGGGCTCCAATGATGTCTCACCACCCGCACCACGTGTCTGTGAATCCATACCACCACGTAGGCAATCCCAATAGGGCGCCATTGGCTAGAGGGTTGGCTGCTCCCGGACACCCCCACATGGCAGTGACCGGTCCCTATCACCATATGCCACCCCAAATGCACCATCACCCGACTGCTGGAGGGAAGGGTTCCAGAGGTATGCAGTGGTTTTGATATAACAAGTCATTTCAAAATAAGTCAAACAAATTTGTAGTTAAACTTTTTAAACTTGATTGTTAACTACGCTCATTCTATCTATCTATCAATCTATCTATCTATCTATCTATCTATCTATCTATCTATCTATCTATCTATCTATCTATTATTTAATTGGGCGTCTCATGTGACACATGTTTAAGAAGTCCCTATGTTGACATGTTTTAGAGAACTCTGTTTGCATGTTTAAACTTTTTCAATGTATTATTTTTTGCATGTTTAACGAAAGTGTTTTTGCACGTTTAAGCTATATCGAATATTAAAACGCTTAAGAAATTGCATTTGGCAGATTTTCAAGAAGTCTCTGGACTGTTAAAAGGCCAAACATTGCAAGGGTTGAAAAATTTACGCAACTCAGCGTTTCAAAATCTGTTGGAGCTCGAATGCTTTAACTCTTACATTTTTTCCTTTATTCGCAACGTAAAACTATCAACGTTTTTCATAATTTACTTAATTAATTTTGAATTTTTTTTCATAAAATTTAGATATAAAAAAACTAACTGAACTTGAATTTTTTAACCCTATAGTGTGGTGCTATCAGGGTACACTCAGGGGTTGCATGTATGACTGCTCAAATCTTTTTGGTTCCGAGTATGGCGTTTTTTATGATTTTTTGAATTTATTGTTTTTCAAAAAACTTCGGTAAAAAAGTTATTGGAACTTGAAATTCTCAGCCCTATGGTGGGGTGCGATCAGGGTACACTCAGGGGTTGTAAATTTGGCCTCAATGTATGACTGCTCAAATCTTTTTGGTTCCGAGTATGGCGTTTTTTATGATTTTTCGAATTTTTTGTTTTTCAAAAAACTTCGGTAAAAAAGTTAATAGAACTTGAAATTCTCAACCCTATGGTGGTGTGCTATCAGGGTACACTCAAGGGCTGCAAATCTAGCGTTCAAATATGACTGCTAAAATCTTGGCTTCATATAGAAGCTTATCAAATTCCTATAAGACCGCTCGTGTTAGGGCAAAGACCTGAATGTCTATGAAGTAGTTTTTGGTTAAAAAATTTTGGTGAGTTTCTGGAAAAGCGTGAAATCACATCTCACCACAAGCGCTATGTAAAGTTTAAGAGAAACATTTTGCATCTGCCAACGAAATAATAAGACCAACTAGCTGATCTCAATTGAATTTGGAATGATTTCTGAGACGGAGGATTTAGCCGCTAGCCCGTTAAGAACGCAAAATATGGCGAGTTAATGATTTCAAACATCCGCAGCTACAGGAAAAATGAAAATACCTAAAATATTGAGAAAAAACCCTTCATCTCGTAAATAATCTGTCTTTTTCTTCTAATTTCGGAACGAGAATTGCTATAGGGAAGTTTTTTTATTTGCTGGTTTGAAAATCGCCCGAATTGCTCTGTACAGGATCTTGTTGATCAGAGCAGCCTTGGCTGAGCGAGTAAGACGCGCAGCCTTTTACAGAAAAGTCGTGAGTTCGATTCTTGCTTTGGTCATGATTGGGGGTGTCACAGTGTCATCCGCATCCTCAAGGTGGGACCGGCTGCGGCAAAATGGATGACATCTCTCTCTCTCTCTCTCTCTCTCTCTCTCTCGCACGGAATAAAAGGTCCAAGGTTGAAAGGTGGGAGCTGGGCCGGGTGTTGATAATAAATATATAACTTTGTTGATCCAGTTTTCGAAAAAAAGAGTCCTTTAATAGTGTTCACTTATGGTGTTGCTGTTTTGAATGTATAAAATAGCGTATTAAAAGCTTTTTTTTCCAGTAGTTAGTGACAAGTTTTTGTTTGATGCTAACGGGCCTTATGAATGTGTATAGAATTTGGTTTTTGAGACGCTTTGGTAAATTTTTGCATTTTTCATAATTTTATTTTTTCACAACATTATTTCGCAGATTTATTTTTAAAATGGACCGATGAAAAGACCGACTACACGGCTGTGTCTGTATATTGTGCTAGTCTATTTGTACCTTACCGTGATCTTCTGATTTTTTTCAATAATTTCTTTTTCTGAAAATTGCCATGCCAAATGGGATGTTGAAGGTTCAATTGATAGAGCGGGTCATTGTATAGAGCATGATAATTTCTGCATAAATTGTTACGCCCCAGTTTTTGTCGAAAAAAGCAATGGCGTTTATTAAGTGTCCAGTTTTTGAAAATTGGTCTGTTTTTTTGCAGCTTTTTTAAAACTACGCTGTCAAATTTGAGATTGAGAGGTCAATCAATAGAGTAGTTTGTATAAGTTTTACCTGCATAAACGGCTGCACCTTTATTTTCATGCTATGGTCTTTAAAAAGTTCTCAGAAAATTAAAATTCATAGAAAAGGCTATTTTTGACGTTTTGACAGTTTGTGAAACTTTCTCTTTGTTTTAAAAGTACCTTCTATGATTGAAAGTTCAACCGAAAGAAGTGAAGGTAAGGGATCTTTTCTGCTTAGTTTTAAAATTATTTTTAGTAGAAAAGCTAGCATAGTCTTAGCAAATTTAATTTTTTAAATCTTCTTACCGTTTATCGTGATTTGATACTCTTCTTGAGATTTTCCCTCCTGAATTTGAGATTAGAGCTTTAATCGACAGAACAAGATGTAGAAAATGCCCATGCATGAACCACTAACCTCGTAAATTTTCGAAATTACCCTGCTAAGGTTAAGAGTAAATTACCCTGCTAAGGTTAAGGGTTCCATCGAGAGAACAGATTTTAGAGATCTGCCCGGCATTAGGGGAGTTTGCTGCTTCGGGAGAGAAAGCGTTATGGGATGAGGAAAAGTCAATTTAAAAGAGTCGATGAACGTAGTTCAGTCTCTTATATCGGTCAGGGTCATTTTTTAGGAAACGTTAAAAATTGTTCAGGCTCAAGTTTAATTTTTTTTGCGGTTTCTTAATTCCAAAGTGGTTTTATAATTCCAATAAACAATGGAATAATTTGAACTGATCTTTATTATTCAGCGACCAAGTACCCCCATACACACAAATACACACACTCGAACCCTCCAGTTTGAAAATACCGAGGCGTTTTTTTGTCATGCGTAAGAGTCGATGATTGTTGCTCATACTCTTATATATGTCGCGATGATTTCTTTTCTGTTCTTAAGCGAAGTTTCAAAATTTGTTCAGGCCTAACATTTTTTTTTTGCGGTTTGACTTTCGATTTATTTCTAATTTTAGTTTGTTTCCCTTGTTAAAAGGATGGAAAACTCCACTATCGAACAGCTGTGTATAAATCACGAAATTTAATTATCAGACTTCCGAGCGAAATAAAATTTTATCTATCGATTTTATTTATTGATTGGGTTAATTTTATGAAAAATGTGATTGGGTTTAATTTTATCTTAAATCTAGAAATTCAAAGAGCGGTAAGGCCATCTATTTTTTCAAATTCGAAAGTTGAGATTTTTCAAAAACGGTTTTTTTTTCGTTTACTTGCGTTCATTGACTCTTTTGCAACTGTCTGTTGTCTATGTTTTGGGTTTTTTGACCGTTTTTTGGAAAATGTTTCCTATCTTTTTGAAAACTACCCAGCTAGTTCTGAGATGTAGATTTTAATTAAGAGAATTAGTAGTAGGAACTTTCCCTAATAAGCGGCCAATTTTCTTTATAAATCTTTGCTAATTTTCTAATTTTTTTTACTGATGCGAAACCAAATGCGTAATTTTCAAACTGTCCAAAAATAGACTTTTACCAAAGCCACAAATGTTTTTCTGCTAAACTCTTACTTCAGCAGAGAAACTATTATGGTTTTAGGAATATTTTGACATTCTGAAATTTACGCATTTCCTTTCGCAACATATTCAAAAGAAAGTTCAAACATTTCACTACAGTTTCAGCTGGTTCACTTGTGTTTGATTGTGTACTTAAGCCTCCTCTCAATATCTAGGTTCGTAGATCGAACCCGGTGCTTGAAAATGCTCTCTTTTTGTCTTATTAGAGTAGTTTTTGCCAATTTCTCGCTTTTGTAAGTGAAGCCAATTTTTTGGCAGGTATGGTTTTTTCAGAATCATTCGAAAATAATAAGCTTTTTTCAGCAAAAATTTGAATAGATATGTGACGAGCTCATATGTGAAATGAGTACGAGCTTTTGACCATTTTGCGGTACTTTTGGGCATCCTTAATTGATCGAAGGGCTGATGATTGAGTGATTTTTAGCAGTTTTTAAGTATAATTTTTACGCCTCGTTCTAATTGCTTTAGAAATCATTGTATAACTGCTTGTACGAGGGCACAGCTATGATTGCATCGACAGCCTTTTAACTGGTATCGAATAGCGTTTGAAAATTGTTTATTTTTCCTCCCCATATACCTAATATTAAATACTAAGCGTAATAGTTAGGGAGTTAATATGATCAATTAGCTTGCATTAACTCAGTTTGGAATGATTTCCTGTGCGGAATAATTCGCCACGCTTAAATAATAAGCGCTTACGATTTCAGCGTATAGATAATTACTTAAAAGTGCATATTTATTAACCGACGGACAGTCAAATTGGCATTTTTAAACGCCCAGTCTGAAATCTTGATGATGGCTGGTGAGATATCTTTTTACCCTTGTGATAAGCAAGACTATTGCAATCTGGCTCTATTTTTTCCCGTAAATGGTAAATTGGGCAAACAGAATGGACAAAACTAAAAATGGTAAATTTGGATTCAGCTCCTTACAAGTTCATTTTTTTGCGACTCCACTACATTTGGTCGGGAGGTAACGAGTACGCCTGTGGCGGCAAAGGTCCTAGGTTCAAATTTGACAGGACCCTGTTTTTTCTCTAGCAGCAAATTCTCTGTTTCAAAAAATTGTCGGCTTAATGTTTGACTGCTACTGGTTTGTCGGCTTAGTTGCCACATGAAAGAATTTTTTTTGCTTAACGCAATTTACATTGTAGTTGCTCTTAGTGTTTTGATTAACTTCTGCTATTTGTAATTTCTTGACTCTGTATATTTTCTTTTTGTTTTTTTTCTCGCTTAAAATTGTTTTGTGCCCAAATTGTTTTG